ACATGTACATCAGGAAAAACCATGTCACTAATTTCCGGCGGTCTCTCTATTAGTCGGTCCGCTAATTTTATAACCGCGTATAACTTGAAAAGTACCGCTCGAATTTTGATGACATTTCCTCGTTACTACTAAGCCAAGGATGAAAAAGTAGTAGAAATGTAGTTTTTGATTTGAAAATCGGACTAGTGGTGACGGAGCTAGGGGCAAAAAAATAAAAATTGCTTTAACTTCGTTTATTGATGTTTTCGAAAAAAAAAAAATTGTGGTGTTGAAATTCGAGGATTGAGTGTTGTAGGGGGTGGGGAGGTTATATGAAATTTTTTTGATCTTAGTATATTTATACGCTCCTAGCCCGGGTGATTATATGCAACTGTTAGCCCTATTTCACACCTCATACATTTACCCGTACGTTTGTTTTTAAAACAAGAAGAATGATAGAGAATAAATGTTGTCGATCCGCGTAATTCTGCTTATGTAAGCGCACCGGCTGGCGAACAATTTCGGCTTTTTTTATACTGAAGCAGCCGCGGAGGCAGAAGAGTAATGCCAGGACACCGCGGCTTCTATGAGGATCCCAAAGAAATTTTGTTAATCCGATCTTTAAACTACTTAAGGTTAGTAGAACTGTGAAAAGTTCCTCTTGTAGCGTGATCCACAATACCGACATCCTCGGGACAAAGGAGCAGTCGTATCGACCAATTTTGGGTGTACGAAGTTCGACACGATTAGGATTGAAGACCGAAGTCGGGCGGGTCTGTCTGTCTGTTTGTGGCCCAGAGCCCGTTGGTGTAGAGGAAGAGGAGAGCTAGATCGCCGACGTCCCGCCGGTGCAAAAGCGCCCCTAGACTGCCTGTTAGAGAAGAGTCATCGGTCAATCAAACAGCACTCCTGTGGACAGCATCGAGCATAAATAAAGTAGTTGAGGCGGCAGCACCCCAAACGTGTGACCAATACTTGGAGCTAGGTATTATCTGGACTTTGTATAGAGTGAGGAGGTCGTGCGGAGATAAGTACTTCTTAGCCCCAAACAAAAGATTTTTCCCAGCAGCTGCCACTACTGAAGAGATGTGTTCGTGTCAGCTCAATTCCTTGGTGATCTGGACTCCGGCTAGTCGAAATGAACAGCTCTTTGGTAGAACTCGACCATACATTGAAACCGGATGAGCACTAGGATGCTCTTTGTTCGTCAAAAAGGTTCTGTGTTTTGAAAGCATTAAATTGTACAAGATTGTTGCGTCCCCAAAGGAGTGATAACCTCCAGGTCTCTCGTCAGAGACTAAGTCGCCGCTAGTCTCATGTAGAGTGCCGTCATCAGCAAAGCTGTGGATTGGGTTGATCGTACAGGAAAGGAGGTCGTTGATATGTAACAGGAACAGAGTCGAAGCCAAGGCCGATCCCTGGGGAACTCCCGTGTTGACGTCTTAAGATGAAGAGGAGAATCAGTCAATTACAATGGATATATTGCGATCAGAGAGAAAGTGAGCCACCTATCTGCCAAGCTCCTCTGGGAGGACGTAGGATGGAGGTTTGCCTAAGAGCGATGACACACACAGCGGTTTGTGCCGACTCGGCTGCCGAACCCACTGCCGACTCAACGTTGGCTTTTCCCTCGACAACCGGACGGTCATTGAGAAAACGTTATTGGGAGACACCAAATGCAAGTAGTTGACTTTTGATTCGATCACTATAATTTTTTCCAGTCGTGTCCCATATTGCTGGACGGTTCTGTATTTGACTTAGTTTATCTGCATCGAGATTCGCTTCTATGACCTGCAGTGCTCCTGTCGATGACATTTTCAATGGTAAAACAGTATGTAATAAGGCGATTGAGCATGTAAAAAACGATGTGTGTGTCTTCGTCCTAAGAGGCAGAGTGCCACGCTGATCTAATATTTCTGTGATAACAACAGCGACAACAAGAGCCTCACCATAAGACTGGATGAGCTTACTCCACAATTACGTGCCGTAGCTAGGAGGTCCTCTGTGGATCACTGGTGCCGAAAACTGTCTGTCGCTAACGCAGCTGTGACGTCCAAGGTAGTCCCGAATCCAGCGATGTATGCACCTCTCTATTACCTTACTTATAACAGAAAGCAGAACGGCCGGCCTGTAGTTATAAGGGTCGGACTTAGATCCCTTTTCGGGATGGGTTGGACATGAGCAAATTTCCAGTTTTCTGGGAAGGTTCCGGAATCGTAAGTTATCTGGAAGAGGTCCAGGCTCCGCTGCACACCTGTTCAACCCAATGGCGGGAATCAAGTCCCGTCAAGCACCCGTCTTACGGTCTTATGCCTCAATGTTACTTCTTGCATAGTGTAGGTAGCCGGCTCTTGGGCGTTCCATCGTGAAGTTAGCAGCACAGGTCTTGCCAAGCACTTCCGCCTTAGCATTTCAGTAGGTTACAATAGTTCCATCCTGACACGTAAGGGATTCAAGGATACCTACTAACAGACAGCTGACGCATCCGCGTCGGGGAAACAAACATCTCGTCAAGGAAAGGTGGAGGAAAAGTCTTTAAACCCTTCCCAGTTGGCAAGTCCGTAATGCCAAATTTTGCGGCCTGGGTGAGTCTCTGTTGCCACAGCGGGTTCTGATTGAAACCTAACCTCCAGAACACCTGAATTACCCAGGGTAGACAGCGCAGCAGTGCTATAACAGACAGGATGCGTGGTCAGAAAGATACCAACTAGGCTAATGGCATGTAACCAGAGCTCATTATGGGTATTAAAATCACCGAGGAGAATTACCTCTGAACCGGGTGATTGACGCTCAGAAAGTCGATTTTGATAGCGAGATATTCAAGTAGGTCATCCCACTTGTGATCCGAAGGAGAGCGATAAAGGCAGCAAATAAATTTGGGGCACGTTTTGGAGTTGAGGCTAAGCCACAGACTGTCTTTCCGGTCTGACTGCAAAGAGGCGTCTCTGGAGCAGGAAAGATTGTTGAGGACAAAAGCCGCAACTCCCCCGTTCTTTATCAGACCTCGTGATTTCTGAAGCTCAGATAATAAATCGGTGCAGACTCTGAGATTTTTGACTCCGCCAAGAAAAGCAGGGTAGGACGATTTGATTGCAGGTAGTGATGAACAGCATCAATGTCGCTGTGAATCTCGCAGATTTTCGTGATACAAATTTTATCATTGATGTTGTTGAGTGAGTTTGCGTCCGGAATTCTTAGTACTTGAAGAATCTATAACCGACTGCGTAGCTTAGGTGTAGAAACATGCGGACATTTATGATTATGAGAAACCCTGGAAAAAGCTAGCGGATGGTACCTCCTCGGTCGACAGGTCCTGGTCTTCCACCGTCTAAAGTGGCTCATTTGCGGACTTGTACCGCCACCCGGCAATCGGTACTGAGTTATTCCTTAACGCGTGTACTACCACTTGAATGGGAAAAGATGTATACTGAACTATCGGAACAAGCATTTGGCACGGTCCCGCTCAGTAGGGAATGGCTTATACGGGGTGGCCAATTTATAACTGACTGATTTAAATTGCGCGCCATTTCAGTAGGTGGCGCCGTAGTAGTTGTTTAAAGCACATGTGTCCAATTTATCAAAGAGCGCTATACGATCCTACAACGCGTCCGTATTGCTAAAATATTTTACTTAAATAATGAGTCGATTGTTACAACGATTCTGAAGCTACTACAAGATTTCGGTCGAAATAATGTGTCTAGTGTCAACACCATTTGTCGGTGCGAGAATTTGAACAAACAGGTGAAGTCAAAGACTTGCCAAGGTCGGTCGGTCCGTGTTCGAACTGTTCGTACTCCGGAGAATATCGATAGAGTTCGTGAAAGTGAAGTGGACCGCCCTGACACGTCTACTAGACATCGTTCTCAGGAAATGAGTATTCGTCGCACATCATTATGCACTATTTAGACTTGCATTTGCGGCCATATAAAATTCAGATGGCCCAAAAACTACAGCCTAGTGACCATAAAAGTCGCCGACAATACAGTCATGCAATATTACAGCTTAGTACCCAAAGTAACGATTTTTACCGACAACTGATAATGAGCGATACATACTCGTCGAGTCACAGTTTGGTGCTGTGTTTGGTATGGAGGTGTCATTGGACCTTGCTTCTTTGAAGACGCTGCAGTTAATTCTCTTACTGTCACTGGCGAGCGTTACCGTGATATTGTGTAAAACTTTCTAGCTCCTCAAATCCAACAACTTAACTTGCAAAACATGTAGTTCCAGCAGGACGGAGCAACTTGTCACAGCTAGGGAAACAATGAATCTTTTGCGAGTAATATTTCCGGGACTTTTAATTTCTCAATTTGGTGATGCCACCAAGGTCACCGGATTTATCGGCTTCTGACTTTTTTTATGGGGATTTTTGAAAAATAGGGCTCACGCCAACAAACCAAATACTGTAGACCAGCTGACTGAAGAATATTACGGGAGTGATTGAAAAATTTTCCTCCCGAAACCTACCGAAAGTGATGGAAAATGTAATAAAGAGAGCTCAGGTTTGCGCGGCTTCTAGAGGCGGATATTTGTCTGATATTATTTTTCATACATAATTTCTAGGTTCCAATAAAAGATTAAGAAGGAAAAAATGGACGTATTTTATTTCATTTCACAAATATTGAAGATACAAGCCCGTCAGTTACATATCGGCCACCCCGTATATGTATCCGTACTGAGCGCTAAATACATAAGGACTCTGCACGAAACGAAAGATAACTCGCTGCAGCGATGCTGCGTACATTTGCGTTGCTACATGGCCGGTAAGTACCAGTAGGGCATGAAAAGAGTGCCTATGGACTACTTGTATGGGCCTGTTTGAATGACTTAATACGTTTAGTTTCTCTATTGTATATGTGTGTAGCTCAATTTTTTCTCAGATGACGGCATTGCGTAGGCAGTCAACTCGCTTCACGCCATCTTTTACATTGATAATGCAACATGACGTTCTTTCATATACTCTACATTCAAAATTGCCGCAGAATTTACTGTTTACTTATCCACTCATACTAAAAACTCACATGTGGCTCTCCTTTCTTGTGTATGGTTTCCTCATGCTCCAGCAATACCTCCACAGCTTCAACAAACTCCTCCGAAATTGCGTGCAATAGTGCATCCTTGGTCTCCACCTTGTGTTCGATAAGAAGTTCTACCATTTCGAGGTTTTCATTGTCTATGGCCATCAAGAGAGCACTGCGCCCAAGTGGATCCACGCAGTTAATGTTGATGTATCCTGTCTCTTCGGCTCTCTGAAGCATCCTGAAAGCAGGAAATCAAGAAATGTAGATTCACAGTATTTCCATATTTAAATCAAAACTGTATCAAAATAGCAGAATTGGGTAAACAAATCGGTCGAATACCTATTTTTCGAAATCTTCAAGTCAGCAAGATAAAATTCAGAGGAATGGATACTATATATTTTAGCATAATGAAGGCAGTTGGAGATTCCAATATAACATTGGGTGTCATTTTGGAGCATTTTTTTCAGATGGACGGGGGGTCGTGCGATAACTCAATTTGAAGCTCTTTATAACTCATGAATACAAAATCGCCAAACTAGCGAACTGGCAAGCTCTCAACGTTGAGCGTCGGTATACGTTCAGTCACTTATAAATCAACAACTAATCATTAAAACGCTATAATATATCAGTTTTCTTCTGAAGGAAGGATCTAACCGTATTATGTAATAGAATTTGAGACATTCCATTTAAAAAAATGTAAAAATATGTATTTTTTTTAATCTGAATGTCCTATATTTTATCGGACGGTTAGATAGACCATTAGAAAAGAAGAATGTTGAAATAACATACTGTAATATATTTCAGCATTCTTTCATTTCATCTTGCTAGCTTGACCCGTTCAAAAAATAAGTACCTAGGGGGGGAGTTTTCCTGAAAAGCACCGTACATGCTTATTTTGTAAATTTCCTCAAGATTCATATCCAGTATTTAAGGGACAAATGACATTTCAATAATGACTCGCCACTCAAAAATGTTTAAAAAGAAATTTGCTAATGACTTCGGGAATGCTGCTATCGCGTTTGGAGGGCTACTAATAGGTGGTAATAATGTAATTGCTAAAACACTATACATCAAAAATGGAGAATACAGTATTTGAGAACATCGAGAATTCTTTATCCTTTCATTTAATCACTATGATTGTAGTATGGATTGTCAAAAATATAGTAGCACTAAGTACTACCACTCCTTCTGCGTACCATTTTCAAACCTATTGTTAATTATTGTAGCTATTGCTAAGTGTATCTATACCGGCAGTTTCAAATTCGACCCTCTCCATTGGGTTCTCGGAAACGGTGAGAGATACGAAGTCGCTTGAATGGGGACAAAGTTACCTATTTAAGTGAGTAACAAAACCCCACTTAAAAAGTTTCGAAATTCAAAGTATTTCCGGAGAGAGAAGGAAAAACAGAATTTTCCCAGAACCGTTTTAATTTCATCCTGTCTTTAGTTGTAGAGGATTTTAAATTAAATTGCACAATAACATTGCCACTTTTTCTTCTTCATAAGATGGCATAATTAGAATTTTAATATGATGTTTTGTTTCTTGTCCTCCATCATTAACTTTATTTTCGATTTTTGCACAAGTGAATAGAGTTTTTGATTCCGATTACTTAAGTGCATAATATGTCACACATTGACATCATCAAACCTGAGTTATTTCAGAATACAGAAATTCCTAGATAGACCTGAAACTGAACATAGTAACAATACTTGGAACACTAAGAAGAAGATAAATAAACCGAGCAGGAACAACGTTCGGAGAAGAATCAGCCTTGTCTACAAAATAATCGTTAGGGTTTCGAAAATATACCGCGATTTACATCTGCCTACTTATGATTATTATTGTTTAGCGTCAATAACATTTTATTTCGTGTTCAGGTTTCACGATATATTTTCAGTTCCTTATAATTTTCGTTCTAACAACAAATGTATGGCCAACTAAGGACTTAGAACTGGACATTCCATTTAAATGTATAAAATTCCAAAATAGCGTCTATATGAAAAAACAAAGTTAGTTATGGAAGTGGAAAGAAGAAACCTCCAACTGAAATCTTTATCACACCATTTTGTGGAACAAAACGAGTGACAATGACAACATGTGATTTACTTTGAAATCCCATCTCAAATGAAGTCAGAAAAAATACTTAAAAAATCAGTTTTTACTTATGAAATAGTTAAAGATTGGCAATCTTAATATATGATATACTAAACATTTTTTAAATCGGAATTAATAAATGTATTCACGTGTGCAAAAATTGAATGCTTCAGTCATTCTAAAAAAATGATGCTGGAGGGGACGAGACGAAACGTCATATTGAAACTTTAATTATACCATATTGTAAAAGAGAAAAAGTAGCAAATGTGCAATCTATTTTGAAATTTCACTACAAATAAAGTCAGGAAAAAATTAAAACGAATGTGGAAAAAATCGGTTTTTTCCGTATCTCCCCGGAAGTACTTTGAATTTCGAAACTTTCTAACCGGCAATGTGTCAGCTACCTAAGTAAGCAGATTTTCCTTCGATTAAGTAACTCCTATCTTTTACTGTTTCCGAGATACCAATGGTGAGGGTCGAATTTGAAACACGCGGTATACGCGCTGACAAAGGCACCAACAAAATTACAGGGTCTGAAACCTACAGACATGCCACCGGAAATAATACCCATTATATTGAAATGTTTGTGATAAAAATACGTCCCTCTCTAAGCGTGGAAAATAAAAATAGAATCGAGTAGTCTTATTCGGTGCATCCCACATTCAAGCCAGCAGATTTCAAAAAACAGTATAAAACCCCCCGTTGAATAGTTAATCTTGTTACTTTAAACACAAAAAAATCAATATCAATCTATCAGGTTGTCTCGGTCAAATACTGGTACAGTATTCGCCTTTTAAGTTCAAGATTTAAAAATATACCGAATTGGGAACTTCGGAATAATCTAGAATCGTGACACCCTCTTTAGCATCTTGTATACAGGGTGGCGCATCGAAAACGAAACAGACGCATTTACTGGCAGCTCAGTTTTTTTTTAAACGCTCAGACCCGTCGATTTTGTTTTCGAGAGGGACACAAGTTTGGCAAAAAATCACGTTATCACGTGCAGCCCCCTAAGCGGGGGTGACACCACCCCCAAAATCATAAATGCAAAGGAGGGTCAAGTGATACCTTATTTTAGAGGTCTTTCAATTCCCTTTATAATGATATAAAATTAATGTACTTCAGTTCAGTACTTTTGAAGATTTATTGATTTAAAGCTAAAATAAAACTAATACGTCATCATTAGTGGAGATCAATACATTTGGCACCAAAGTAATTTAAAAATGAAGAATGAACTGACCCGTTAGGCAAGTAAATGACGACAATGGCCACCATGACTCTCCATGCAATAATAAAGATTTTGCTCAAAACGTTGCCGCACATTTTGCAATATTTGAGGAGTAATTTGAAGGCACTCATTCACAATTCTTTGTCGCAGGTCTTCGAATGATGTTGGCTGAGTAGCATAGATTTTGATTTTTAAATGACCACATAAAGAAATCCAAAGGTGATAAATCAGGCGGTCTGGGGGGCCATTCAATGGCACCTCTTCTACCAATTCATCGATCTGGAAACGTGTGATCTACGTAATGCGTAATGTGGTGGGGCACCATCCTGTTGGAACATCAACCTATTAGCAATGTACCGCCGATCATTCTGATTTTCAATTATGGCTGTTAATGCAGGATCTATGGCGTCTTTCAGTAATTCCAAATACATTTCACCGGTCAAATTTCCAGGTAAGAAGAACGGACCGACTAAATGATCGCCAAAAATACCAGCCCAAACATTTAATTTTTCTGGCTGGTGTGTATGAACCTCATGATAAATTCTGAGATGTTATGACGATTTACTACGCCATTTAAGAAAAAGGAACATTCATCGGAAAAGCAAGCGTTGAATAGGAAATGTTCATTGTTTATAATTTATTCACTCATCTTCACAAAATTGTAATCGCCGATCAAAATCGTCTTCATTAAGTTCTTGTACCAGGTGAATTTTATACGGATGAAAACCATGTGCTTTAGAATCCGTTGGACTGTACGTCGACTAACACCACCACACACAGTCTCCGATTTGTGGGTACTTAACGTAGGATCTACATAAACTTGCCCTAAAACCCCCACTTCTATTGCTTCGTTCCTTATGGGATTTTCAATGTTGCGTTTTTTATTGGCGACTGCCCAGTTTCCCGAAATGTATCTACAAGTTCTAGAACATATTTTCGATGCATCCTACTGTTCTCATGTCGCTCATTAAATATTTCTGCTGTTCTATTAGCGCACTGATTATTTCCGAAAAATATTTCAATAATTCCAACTATTTCTGCTGTGAAATATACCATGGTTAATTTATGTAATAAAGCGTTACAAGTTATTTTAGCAACAAAGTTTGACCAAATCAATCGCAAACTATGTACTAAATTCCTATTTAAAATAAGTACGAGATATTTCCTTATCTTTCTCCAAGAAATAACTTGTTTGCCACAAAAACACGCTCCAATAGCTATTTTCAACAACAAAATGATAAACAAACCATGGGCGTAGTGAAGAAAAGCATTTACATATTAAGTAAATTCTTTTAGTCAAATTTCTTCTGAAAGTAGTACAAACTAATCTGATGTACCTATTAAAGTCTACTTTAAGCTTTAATTCAATAAATCCTCGAAGCAACTGAACTGAAGTTCATGTATTTTACATCATTATAAAGGGAATTGAAAGACCTTTAAAATAAGGTATCACTCGACCCCCCTTTCCATTTAAGATTTTAGGGTTGGTGTCACCCCCGCCCAGGGGGCTGCACGTGTTAACGTGATTTTTTGCCAAACGTGTGTCCCCCTCGAAAAGAAAATCGACGGGTCTGAGCGTTTTCCAAAAAAAAACTGAGCTGCCAGAAAATGCGTCTGTTTCGTTTTCGATGCGCCACCCTGTATATTTCGCCTTGTTGATCTCTGAGTTCCGTCGTCTGACCGTTTTTCTTTTCGCAACGATATATCCCTTCACTTAGAGGACATACATTTCTACACTACTGACTTACGAGATCTAGCAATTTGTGAATCGCAATGTGATCGACGATGAAGATTACATAATCAAAAATAGCAGATACTACCTGCAAGGGTTGATTGTCGAATCTTCTTACAAAATGTATGCAGATAATTCTAAAAACCTAGCAAGAAACATATTGTAACTTTATGCCGGGAAAAT